GTAATTACAGAACTCCGGCTGACGTGGTGGTTGATGGCTGCCTACATGGGTCGTGATGTCGTAATAACTAAACTCCGGCTGACGTGTTGGTTGATTGCTGCCTACATGGGTCGTGATGTCGTAATGACAGAACTCCGGCTGAAGTGTTGGTTGATGGCTGCCTAAATGGGTCGTGATGTCGTAATGACTGAACTCCGGCTGATGTGGTGGTTGATGGCCTAGATGGTCGTGATGTCGTAATGACAGAACTCCGGCTGAAGTGTTGGTTGATGGCCTAGATGGTCGTGATGCAGTAATGACAGAACTCCGACTGATGCGGTGGTTGATGGCTGCCTACATTGGTCGTGATGTCGTAATGACAGAACTCCGGCTGACGTGGTGGTTGATGGCTGCCTAAATGGGTCGTGATGTCGTAATGACTGAACTCCGGCTGAAGTGTTGGTTGATGGCCTAGATGGTCGTGATGCAGTAATGACAGAACTCCGACTGATGCGGTGGTTGATGGCTGCCTACATTGGTCGTGATGTCATAATGACAGAACTCCGGCTGACGTGGTGGTTGATGGCTGCCTACATGGGTCGTGATGTCGTAATAACTAAACTCCGGCTGACGTGTTGGTTGATTGCTGCCTAAATGGGTCGTGATGTCGTAATGACAGAACTCCGGCTGAAGTGTTGGTTGATGGCTGCCTAAATGGGTCGTGATGTCGTAATGACTGAACTCCGGCTGACGTGATGGTTGATGGCTGCCTACATGGGTCGTGATGTCGTAATGACAGAACTCCGGCTGAAGTGTTGGTTGATGGCTGCCTAAATGGGTCGTGATGTCGTAATGACTGAACTCTGGCTGATGCGGTGGTTGCTGGCCTACATGGGCGTGATGCAGTAATGACAGAACTCCGTCTGATGCGGTAGTGGGTGACCTACATGGGTCGTGATGCAGTAATGACAGAACTCCGACTGAAGCGAGTTTTTATTTTTTTAAAGGTCCTTGAAATATTCCAGAGCAAATTGCTCCAGTGGAAACATCACGTGTGTCATTTGAACTACAACTCCTTAATACGCTACCTCACGTCAAACACTCCACCCTCGCCATTAAAATACCAACGTTTCACATCTCAACGCCTCACGCTCCACGTCATGGACGACGTCAGTCCACGTCAAATATATATCAGTCCGCGTCAAACATTCGTCAGTCTTCATCAAACATTAATCTGAGAATGCAAAAAATAAAAATCAGGGATTTTGTAAGGACACTAGAGTTTTTTCTCAAAACCAGAAATGTTTTTATTTAAAACTATGAGCCTAACTTTTTTTAAAATAAAAACTACCTTGCAACAATGTAATTTTTGTGGCAGAAACTTTCTTTTTTCACTGTGAAAATGATAATTACGTTTTTCGAAAAACTTGATAAGATTGGCGCCAGGTGCTAAGACTGAAGTATCCAAGCATGGCTACTCCTGACCGCTGCTACCTAGGTGTGCCATTATCCTGTTGTACGATGAACCACTTCCTGAAACTAAACCCGTATAAACAACACCTCACATTATTCCAGTTTGGGTTTGTTTGTTTGTTGTTTGTTTGTTGTTTGTTGTTTAACGTCGTACTCAGCAATATTCCAGCTATATGACGGCGGTCTGTAAATAATCGAGTCTGGACCAGACAATCCAATGATTGATGTCATGAGCATCGATCCGCGCAATTGGGTGACATTTGGGTGACAATTACGATGACATGCATCAACCAAGTCAGCTAGTCTGACTACCCGATCCCGTTAGTCGCCTCTTATGACAAGCATAGTCGTGTTTTACGGCAAGCATGGCGTGTGCTATTCTACCCCGGATCTTTACGGGTCTCCAGTTTTGGTAATAGCTATCACTTCATTGTATTTTGTAATTAGAAATCCAACAGAAAATTCTGCGAAGTCCGTGACTTCCCAACCTGTAACGCAACGCGGCGTGTTGAAAGACAGCGTGCAATGTGTATTTGGTTACACAATTATATGAAGTCAACAGTACTTTGAGACTTGCAGGTAACACTTAGACAGTGCAGGGCTCACGTCAGATCGCCCACACGCCGGGTGTTTACTGCATGAGATTACTTAAGTCTCGTAATACTGAGTATGCATTGTCAGGCTAAGTGTCACGGGTACAAGTCATGTGCGGCGCGGCTATGCATTATGCATACTAATTTTTAAATCTTTCAAAACAGGTTACATTAAATTCGATACCTGTGTTGAATGACCATGGTAATACTGATTATGTTACACTGACTTTGGAGCTCGGTGCAAAGTTGTGAAAGACGCCGAAACTAGTCCTGCAAAAATTACGTCCCTTAGATGTGCCAGGATCCGCACGTTCGAATCCCATATTCGCTCTGATTATGGTTCCAGGATTGCCATGACAAGACCCGCTTGGGTATTCACCAAAGATTTTGTTTTGTTTGTTTGTTTGTTTGTTTGTTTGTTTGTTTCTTTCTTTCTTTCTTTCTTTCTTTCTTTCTTTCTTTCTTTGATTAACAACCAAACAAAACAAAATCTTTGTTTCTTTCTTTCTTTCTTTGATTAACACCCGTGAAGATTCCGGGGTAGAATAGGTCTTCAGCAACACATGCTTGCCGTATAAGGTGACTATGCTTGTCGTAAAAAGCGACTAACGGGATCGGGCGGTCAGGCTCGCTGACTTGGTTGATGCATGTCATCGATCCCAATTGCATGGATCGATGCTCATGATATCAATCACTGGATTGTCTGGTCCAGACTCGATTATTTACAGACCGCCGTCATATAGCTGGAATATTGTTGAGTGCGGCGTTAAACAACAATCCAAACCAAACCAATCTTTGATTAACCCCGCACTCAGCAATATTCCAGCTATATGACGGCGGTCTGTAAATAATTGAGTCTGGACCAGACAAAGCGGTTGTTTCAATCAGAGGTGATTATTGTGATTTCATACCTCTGACTGGACAATCAGAATCGACAATTTCCAAAATTCGTGGCAGAATACTGTTCACAACTGAAAATATGGGATGAATAATTTTGAATGATAAGACTTTCATCGTCGAAGCTTGTGACATCAAATAAATGAACTCGTGTTTAAACTAAATATATCTGATATAAAAGAGATTCTCCACATATCATAACAGCGTGGAGATGCAGCACACTGTTTAATGGAGGATTGATTTATACATGCCTTTGTTATATAACCGTTCTTCAGATAAATCACAGTACTCGCGCACACATATTCAACTCAGCAGTTTAATAGGAAGACGTCAATTGCCGCTGTAATTGTCAGGTTTCACTCAGCAATAGAATGACAGTGTACCGATGAGCAAGGCACTCCCTCTCAGATACAATGGCTTGCAACGTTGACAGAGGTTTATTTTCCATAAAACCACAATGTTGATGTTGACTGAGAGATATCTTTTGTTCGGTAAACCTTTCAGGGCTTACATAATTGTAGCTTTAAAGAATCCTTACATTGTACATGTTCATTGAAAATATATGTTGTGACAAAATGCATTTAAGTTATGGCATTTAACTTTAACAAAGATTATTTCCCGACACTGAGCAGGTCGTCATAAAGGTACAAGCGCCCTGTTAGTTTTGTCTCCCACGTCGTGTCCCGTCATCGTGTGTCTGACTGGTTTGTTATTTGTTATAATTATTATTATTTGTTTGTTTGTTGCTTGCGGCACTCAGCAGCACTCAGCAATATTTCACCTATATGAAGGCGGTCTGCAAAATGATCGAGTCCATACAAACCAATGACTGATATCATGAGTAACTTCCCACGCCGTGGAAATACGATGAGTGAGTGAGTGAGTATGGTTTTACGCCGCTTTTAGCAATATTCCAGCAATATCACGGCGGGGGACACCAGAAATGGGCTTCACACATTGTACCCATGTCGGGAATCGAACCCGGGTCTTCGGCGTGACGAGCGAACGCTTTAACCACTAGGCTACCCGACACGCATTCAACCAAGTCACCGGATCCATTAAGTCGCCTCGTTGCTAGGGATCAATTCTAAACGGAAACCCCACGGGGAGGCTACACCTCTGGGGATGCATGGATACAGCCCTGTTCTATCAGACATCGGGTTATGTGAACCCACAACCTGAGGTAACATTATAATCAATAAATTGTAAGCGATTCCGTTGCATTTGATTGGCTAAACCACAATCAATGTTCTTGCTTTTAACTTTCCATAAACCACCAAAAAAAATAGGCCACCCCCACTCGCGAACTACTGTTTCAGAATTGATCGATAATAGAATGGGTGGGGCTTGTGTTGTTTCATCGCGATGAATTGACTTAAATGTGAGTTTTCGTTTATTGGTGGTTCCAAGGCTCTTCGCTAACGATCAAAGGCACTTTTTGAGTTACATCAAAATAGGCTGACGTCTTGATGCTGATCAAATAAACACCCCAGTGATCTAACGTATCCATGGTAACATTGTTCTATAATTACCGTCAAACAAGACGCATCAGCGTCACATTATCTTTTAATTTCTTTAAACTTGTCGAATAACTGAATGTATTTCGCTGGGAAGAATTATGGCCAGATGATGTCAAGCGTCTCAGGCCGCGGGGTTGGTTATCAACATACATTGTCCGTGCCACAGCAGCCACAACATTGTCCGAGGAATGGTGCCCTAGGAATTATGACGGCCTCTGTACCCAGGAATGGTCAATCCTTTGAACGTTTCATTTCCACCTGCTGCTCAAGTAGGACATTCAGCAACATGCTGCTCAAGTAGGACATTCAGCAACATGCTGCTCAAGTAGGACATTCAGCAACATGCTGCTCAAGTAGGACATTCAGCAACATGCTGCTCAAGTAGGACATTCAGCAACATGCTGCTCAAGTAGGACATTCAGCAACATGCTGCTCAAGTAGGACATTCAGCAACATGCTGCTCAAGTAGGACATTCAGCAACATGCTGCTCAAGTAGGACATTCAGCAACATGCTGCTCAAGTAGGACATTTAGCAACATGCTGCTCAAGTTGGACATTCAGCAACATGCTGCTCAAGTAGGACATTCAGCAACATGCTGCTCAAGTAGGACATTCAGCAACATGCTGCTCAAGTAGGACATTCAGCAACATGCTGCTCAAGTAGGACATTCAGCAACATGCTGCTCAAGTAGGACATTCAGCAAAATGCTGCTCAAGTAGGACATTCAGCAACATGCTGCTCAAGTAGGACATTCAGCAACATGCTGCTCAAGTAGGACATTCAGCAACATGCTGCTCAAATAGGACATTCAGCAACATGCTGCTCAAGTAGGACATTTAAGCACATGCTGCTCAAGTTGGACATTCAGCAACATGCTGCTCAAGTAGGACATTTAGCAACATGCTGCTCAAGTAGGACATTTAGCAACATGCTGCTCAAGTAGGACATTCAGCAACATGCTGCTCAAGTAGGACATTTAGCAACATGCTGCTCAAGTAGGACATTCAGCAACATGCTGCTCAAGTAGGACATTCAGCAACATGCTGCTCAAGTAGTTCATTCAGCAACATGCTGCTCAAGTAGGACATCTAGCAACATGCTGCTCAAGTAGGACATTCAGCAACATGCTGCTCAAGTAGGACATTCAGCAAAATGCTGCTCAAGTAGGACATTTAGCAACATGCTGCTCAAGTAGGACATTCAGCAACATGCTGCTCAAATAGGACATTCAGCAACATGCTGCTCAAGTAGGACATTCAGCAACATGCTGCTCAAGTAGGACATTTAGCAACATGCTGCTCAAGTAGGACATTTAGCAACATGCTGCTCAAGTAGGACATTCAGCAACATGCTGCTCAAGTAGGACATTCAGCAACATGCTGCTCAAGTAGGACATTCAGCAACATGCTGCTCAAGTAGGACATCTAGCAACATGCTGCTCAAGTAGGACATTCAGCAAAATGCTGCTCAAGTAGGACATTCAGCAACATGCTGCTCAAGTAGGACATTCAGCAACATGCTGCTCAAGTAGGACATTCAGCAACATGCTGCTCAAGTAGGACATTCAGCAACATGCTGCTCAAGTAGGACATCTAGCAACATGCTGCTCAAGTAGGACATTCAGCAACATGCTGCTCAAGTAGGACATTCAGCAAAATGCTGCTCAAGTAGGACATTTAGCAACATGCAAACAAAAGGGCCGCTGTTCCTCTTCCTCCGCCACGCTCGTCCCAGGGCGACGTTACATCACGCCTCGAGCCGCATCGGTAACGGTATCATGTCTAGCAACCAACTCGTTAAGCACACTATTTCATTATTGACTTGCAGTTGCTGCAGTCGGCTGACGTCAGAGAGGGAAGCAGAGATGCAACTTTTACGACAGAAAACACCTTAACTTACAATAACCACCGACACCGAACGTCGGTTATGTTTATATGGGTTAGCTCGACCCCATAAATGCACAAGTGGAATGTTTCGGCGTGATTTAACTGATGCAAATTAATATAAAAACTTAAATTCAAATCCTTCTTATTGTGCAATTGGTTAAGGTACGCGGGCGGAAACTATAACAGTTCAGTGCAAAATTATACTAACTCTATTACATTACACATGGATAGGGCAACTTCTCAGATATACGTAAACACCGATGTGCATACTTTGCGTTAATGCGCTGACTGAAGTCCATTCTCAATTATATTTCATTGAGGAGGTAATTAATAAGAAATGCCTTTGGCTGATTGCCAAACGGATGTGTAGCTTTACAACGTATGCAATGGAATTTGTACACTGAACTCATAAGTTTGGGATCATGGATATTTTTGGGTGATGTGTTTTTGTTCTGAATACTGAACGCACAATTTCATAAAAATATCACCAAATAATTAGGTATATATTTATATCAGGACTTTATCTAGTGCCCCCAGAAATACTAGCTCCAGTTATGACCGTCATATATATATTTATACTCAAAAACCCTTAGACCCGAGAACGTCCAGTTCATTTGTGGCAAAAATACAGACAATGAAAATTGTTGTTTAGGCGAGTTAAATATAACTCTGAGTGCCTCGTTAAAGGAGGATCTTGTTACCGGTTTAAAAGCATGTGTCACAAAACAGAGGGCCTCGGAAGAGAGACCTTTGTCGTAGGTAACGTTTGAGCGCAGCAACTGGGCATAGTTTACTGTCTAACTTGTCTAGTGTGACGATCTTGCTAGCTTTACCGCTGTTGTGTTTATACGTCGATATGTTAAGATGGGCCGCGGAGCTGGAAAGTGAAACGTCCTGCACCTGCAAGGCCGCTTCGTCATCCGAACTACGCACCGTCAGTTCACCAATCCGAAAAAAATCCGTGAAAGGCGACTAAAAACATTGTGTCATAAAGTAGTCTGATTGAAGGGTTGGAAAACACAACAGGTAATGAGTCAATCATCCTGCCCGGTATGTCCTCTGTGATTGGTAGACGCTGGTCTACTGAAGAGTTTAGACACTTAGCCCGATGTAACAACTTCTGAACTTGAAAAGAATTTGATTTGTCCTCTAACGCTGAAATGTAGGTCCTCATTGTTGAAGGTGCTAACTCCAAATGAAACATTTACGCCAAAAAAAGTGCCCAGTTAGGTGTTGCTATCGGTAGCGCCGGCGAAATACCTAGACAATCCCGGGAGAATTCCTTGTACAAATCCCACGCCCTGGTATATGTAGCCTGACTAATCTTACATAGAGCTGCCCCTAATAAAGTATCTAAGTGAATAGATAATTCTCGGGTTGTAGGGGCGGAGGAATCCGCGTTTCCTGCTTGTCTGCCCATGGTGCCTGACTGAGAAATTTGGATATCTGTAAACGAGAAAGTAGGTCTGCCGACTTATTATGTCTTCCCGGTATGTGTTCCGCTCTGAAATTTATATCCCGTTTCAAACACGAAAGAACAAGGTTTGACCAGACCAAGGACATCAACTGGACCCTAACGACGCTGCAGCGTCGGTTCTTTTCTTCTTCTTTTTTCTTTTCTTTTTTTTTTTCTTTTTTTTTTTAGTTGCTTAAATGAGACAGGGCAAAACACGTCTGGAGCGGGCGGCTATCCCAGCGGAGATGCGCATTAATCAGAAAGCTAACGTGGATGACGTCACCGTTTACGTCATATCCTTATAAGTGATGTATTGATTCCCGCTATGAGGTGTAACCGGGCAGCGCACATGAAGCGCAACTGGGGTTTTTCCCATAATTTTCTTTTGAAAAAATTTGCATATAGATATATATACATTGGCTAATGGGATTTATATATATTTATATATATATATATACATGCTAATGGGATTCATATATATATATATGTATCCCATTAGCATATATATATATATATATATATATATGTGTGTGATCCCATTAGCAAATATATATCTATATATATATATAAATCCCATTAGCCAATGTATATATATCTATATGCAAATTTTTTCAAAAGAAAATTATGGGAAAAACCCCAGTTGCGCTTCATGTGCGCTGCCCGGTTACACCTCATGGCGGGAATCAATACATCACTTATAAGGATATGACGTAAACGGTGACGTCATCCACGTTAGCTTTCTGATTAACGCGCATCTCATATATATATATGCTAATGGGATTCATATATATATATATATGTATCCCATTAGCATATATAAAAATATATATATATGAATCCCATTAGCCAATGTATATACACACACGCACGCATGCACGCATGCACGCACGCACGCGCGCGCCAGCCCTGGAGCAAGACACAAGTCAAACAAGCGTTAACATAGATCGATAACTGTTAACATCTTTTTTTAAACAGGAGGACCCATATGATAATAAATCGATAAATGTACCCCAACCCACCACACCCCGCCCCACCCCGCCCCACCCCACCCCAACCCACCCCGTCCCTACCCCCTCCGCATCTATCCCCTCCCTATAAGTGACTGATTTAAAGTGAGTCTGCGATGCGAATACATACAGATGTAAGACGACATATCTCGTTAACCTCTTGCACCTGACGTTTACGAGGAAAGGATTAAATGAGGTATTACATTTAATCCCGGCGCGGTTTAGGATATCACCGAGAATATTCTACTAAGTCCAGTACTTAATGCACCAGTTGGCCTGATAAATTGGATATTTTCATAATCCCAGGATTGGCAGCTGTATGATATTGCAAGAGTTAATTTACGTAAACAGTTGTCTGGTTATCAGCTGCAAGCTGTACAGAAACACGTGGCCTTCCATCACGGATATCTGGGCATCTGTTTCAGATTTGTCGTGAATGATGTATACAAACATTTCCAGTATTAAAACAAGCTTTTCTTTGCAAATATATATAACTCAAGTCTTACGTTGACTTAGACACGAGGAATACGGTTGATGTACGGTGATCAACACTCTAGAGATCCACACACAATGAACGGAGGTATATTTATGTATATACTTTTGATGAGTGGTTGGTTTCGGTCTCTTTTAATGTTTACCGTCGAGCCGCAAAGCGATGTTTGGGCTGTGACTGCAGGCAGTCTTAAGATTACCACTGGCTTATGGGATTCATAGCCAAATCATGTGTAAGACGATTCGAACACTGGTGACTCTCCTTTGAACTCAAAGTAATTTCATTAGAGTGGGTCTTTTTTGTAAGAAATTATTTTCAAGCATATTCTAGAAGAAATGTTTGTTTTTTAAAAAGGATCACAGCCCACCATCCCTGCCCGAAATTCAAATGGTCGGTCAAAACGAGGCGAAGATCACACATGGGTCCAGGGTATATAGCATGGCGGAATGGAAATATAATACATATAGATCATTCAGGTTGATCAGGCCTAAGTCGCCTGCTGGACTTTAGATATGATTGAAAGGTATCGGACCTAGATAGCCAGTTAGACTTTAGATATGATTGAACGGGATCAGACCTAGATAGCCAGTTAGACTTTAGATATGATTGAACGGGATCAGACCTAGGTAGCCAGTTAGACTTTAGATATGATTGAACGGGATCAGACCTAGATAGCCAGTTAGACTTTAGATATGATTGAACGGGATCAGACCTAGATAGCCAGTTAGACTTTAGATATGATTGAACGGGATCAGACCTAGGTAGCCAGTTAGACTTTAGATATGATTG